CATACATACATACATACATACATACATACATACATACATACATACATCAGGGTGGAGGTGGAAATATGCTATCCTGCATACATGCCACTTCCCCAGAACATCATTCAGTGCTCTCCCATCTGGCTTCTCTCTTTCTTCCCCTTTAGATTTCTCTTAGAAGCTGCCCCAATGCTCTGGCTTCTGTCAACACTCATGATGTCATCACCTGCTGCCCTGTCTGACCTAGTGGCTCACAGTGCCACATTCTTTCTGAATGGCATCAGAGCACTAGCCATGACCAAGTATTTGGCTCTAGAATCACATCTAAGTCCGACATGGACTAACTACTTGTGATCTTGGCTATGTCCCCTGTCCCTCTGAACTGTTTTCCTCATCTGTGGCATGGGGCAATAAGCATGCAAGTCACAAAAGATGTGCAAAGTCTGGCTCACAGTAACTGCTGCCCGGTAAAGGCAGAAGCCGGCTCTCTTTTGAATGCCACTTCTCACTGTTGTCCTGTGCAGGAGCTAGAAAACCCTGCAGTTCGCTTACCACTTGTTTCTGTGGGTAAATGTTTTATGGAATTTAATCACATCTATCCATGTGTACATCTGCTCCTGGCTGATTTCATTTATCAAGCAGAGAAGAGTCCCTACAAACGAGACAGCAGAGCCTACAGCATCGAAGCTTTTACCACCTGGTTCTTTATAAAAGACATTTGGTTGATTACTGGTTTCACAAAACAATAACAACAACAAACACCTTCAAATATACTTTTTTGGGGGGACAGTCTTGTTCAGAATGGTCTTGAACTTGAGATTCTACAACCTCAGCCACTCAGAAGCTGGCACATTTGTACCACCACAGCAGCCTTGACTTTAGAGTTTTGAGTGGTCCTGACTGATCTAGTAGGGTCGACTCTCTGCTCCAAAGTGCCCCCTTCCAGGAAGAACAATATGGAGGGCCCCAGGTTCCCTCACACTGAGCTGTGTCCAGGCAGCTGCTCAAAGTTCTCGCTGGCAACTCCTCGGGTGAACCAGGCGAGCGTCTGCAGAGTGACCTTAGATGCTTTGTTGCTCCTGTTACTTTGTTGGGGACAGAGCTAAGACCTCTTCATCCTCAGAAACATCTGCCCCAAAGCGGAGGGTCCCTTCCCTGAGTGACTGCTCTTTCTCCGCACTTCATTTTGCTTAGTGAGAGGCAGAAGGAAGGCTGTAATATTTTTCTCAATTTAAGACTTTATGATTGGTCCTTAGAAAAATAGTAACACGCTATAAAAACACCAGATTTGGAACATGATGTCATCGTGTGTCAATGCTCTCTTTAATAGGCTTCCTTCCTGTAATGGTAGGGTCATGTGAGGTGACCCCTGTATGTATGTTTGGGGAAGGCCCACCACCCTTCATGGGGGGGGCAAGGGAGTTCAGAGAGAAAGGTAGGTACAGGAAGATTGTAATGAAAAAGGCACAGGATTGGATTTTTATGTTTATGAAATTCTAGTGTACATATTGTTAGGAGAAAATTAAGGGGGTCTTCAAAACAGAATCCAGACTCAACCAAAGCCTAATAAAATCAGCCAATTATACAAAACACACTGCATGATTCAATTTATGTGAGATTGCCCAGTGTCAGACTCAGAGAAAGGCATGGTGTAAGGTGGTCCCTGGCTACAGAAAGGAACGGGGGGCTGGTGGTGAATGGATGTGGGTCTTGGCTTGTGTTTGGAGGTGGATGGTGGTGAAGGCCAGACAAACAAACAAACAAACAAACAAACAAAGGTGTCATGCTGGATATATGCCTCTGGGGACATGAATCGGCCCCAGTTCTGTTGTGGAAAGGGTTAAGAATGACAGAGAGCACTATGGTGTGACGTGCTCAGAGGGGTTGCTCTGGGTTTACTGCTGACAGAGGAGCAGGCAGAGGAGGGTAAGGTGGAGGGAGAAACACTTCTCCCAGTGGCAGATCAAGCATGCAGTGAGGAGCCAGATTCTGTTGAAGGGCAGGCAGCATTGGCTTCTGTGACGTTTTGTGAGGTTTTTTTCTTTCCCCCACAGGTTGGGCTTTTACATGAGCAAGGTCTGTTTTGTTGAATTAGCTTTTTTTTTTTTTTTTTTTTGGTTTGTTTGTTTGGTTTTGAGAGAAGGTCTCACTCTTTAGCCTGGGTTGCACTTGAACTCAATATTTAGCCTAGACTGGCTTTATAGTCTCATGGCAATGGTCCTGCCTCAGGCCCCCAAGTGTTAGGATTACAGGCAGGAGCCGCCACACCCTGAGTTTTTCTGGCTTTTGAAATTTTGCCAACATTCATGGAGTTGATCATTTTTAGCTGTTTTCAGGTGCACAGGTTAGCCTTGCAAACCTGATGACTGGCGCCCCTTACGTCATCGACCTCTTCCCCATGGGAAAAACTACCTTCGCTCCTGTCCAGGAAGCTCATCCCTTTCCTGTCTGTGACTCTTGATACCCTTGATGTCACTTTCCCCACTGCTTTTCCCAAAGTTGTCCTCCAGGTCTCTGAGGACACAATTACTGCACGCTCCTCCTTCCTCTACACTCCGACCTCCCAAGGGCCCTGTGCTTCAGCCACTGTTCCTGATGTCATCACCAGTTTCCAAAAAGGAGAAAAAAGTAACAGAAAATGAAAAAAGGTAAAAGTACCCCCTCCAAAAACCCAAACAAACAAACAAAAACCCCAAACAAACAAAAAGAATAAGAAAAAGGTAATAAGGGCCATGTGTGTCAAAGAAGCCCTTCCTCTGGCCTGTGCTGTCTCTGTTCACCACAGCCTGCTCAGTTTTCACTCTCGCATACTGTTTCCTGCTCTGGCACTCGGCAGTAACATCATAAGTGACCTGAGCTTGTGATCTCTGGAGATGACATCCCATCCTCATCCCTCATGGATGTGAACCCCTAACTCTGAGCTTTTCCCCTGACATGTTCAGTGGGCTGCTGTCAGTTGGTGTGTTCTTGTTCTGCAGTTACCTAAGGGAACATGGCGGCCAGCTCTTGGCTGCGGGTGACAATGTGGACAACCCACAGAGTAGCACATAGAATGAAAGCTACTGTTCTTCCAAACCAGAATCATGTTGCATTAATGGTAGATTAGCTCAAAGCAGAGCCGTAGAGCAGGAAAGCCTGGGCAAGCACCCCTCAGCTCTAGGCAGGGCTGGTGTGAGCATGGCAGCCTGGGACCTATGCCAGCACTCTGCCTCCTTAGGACTGGCTAGGCCCAACAGCCTGCAAGCATAGCCCCAAGACAGGGTAGAGGGATTTTGCTCTGGCTGTATGTAGATCAGCACAGTGGTCCTTTGTTTGTGCTGTTACATTCACAGATTCCACCAACCAAAGCAGGTCACCAGTCAGGAGGCCTGTGGTGCTTGCATCTGTACGGAGACTATACAGACCATCTTCTCTTACAATGACTTATAACAATACAGTGTACCAACTGTTTAACAGCATTTGCATTGCATTAGGTATTGTAAACAGTCTAGAGATGATTTAAGGTGTGTGAGAGGATGGGTTGGGTGATTCATGAGGCTTGGTTGTTTTGGGTGGTGGTGGTGATGGTGGTGGTGATGGTGGTGGTGGTGGTGGTGGTGGTGGTGTGTATGTGAGATTCTGAACTCAGGGCTCAGAGGGACAGCTGTATCACTTGAGAAGCTCTAGAAACCACTGATGCTTAGCTATGATCTCAGAGTTTTGGTCTCAAGCAAACTGGGATGGATGACTTCTTAGTGTTCAGAATCTCTCCTGGATTAGAACTCATAGCCAGGACCAGTAAGGGTTGGGGTGGCCAGGCCACTTCAGTCTCACAGAGGGGAATTGACAAATGTAGTGTGGGGACAGAGAAATGGAGAAGCACAGGGAAGGGCGGCAGCTCCGTGTCCCTCTCTCTGAGAGTAGTCTGTACCTGTCTGAGGTAGCCTGGTGTCTGACAAATGGGGGTTGGGAGTAGCAAGACCCAGTCCCGTCCAGTTAGGGTGGGAACTACAGCTTGGAAATTGCTTTGACAGTGGGGGTAGGGCTCTGAGGATGAAGGGTGCCATAGGTCCCAGGCAGGAGAGGGAGTGGCAACTTAGGAGGCAATGTCTATTTAATTCTGCCTGCCAGCAAGCCCAATGCAGGACTGCAACAAGACTTTAAGGGACAGAATGGAAACACCCCTATGGCCAGATGCTCAGACTCATGCTTGGTCAACATCATGGTTACCCACAACGTGGACAAATGCTCTCTTCCTGCCTGAAGGCAGAGTCTCTGTCCTCTGAAGCAGTCTTTGAAAGTCCCTTCATTAAGTTGGGTCTCAGCCCTGCTGCTCTCCCTCCTTTCAGAGAAGTCCCCAATATCCCTAAGCTGCAGTTTTGATTTCCCAATGTTCAGCCTCTTCTTGAACCTTGATTATGTGGACCCCAAATCCTGCCTGTGCCAGGCCTTTCAGCTTCTAGACCACCCACCTCCTTCTGTCAGTCAGGTTCAGCACATGCTCCACCTGAGACAGATATGCAGTCCCCTGCCCTGTTTGCCTGATAACTCCCATGTATCCCCAGGTCCTAGCAAAGGTAGCACTTCTTACAGGAAGCCTCCCCGAGCATCTTGTGCCCCAGGACACCCTACATGTCCCTAAATAGCTCCTGTCTCTGTGGACTATAGAGGTTCTGTGACCTGGTTCCTTGAGAATCTGAGTCACAAGCGGTGGGAACTGGGTTTCCCTTGAATCTCCACTGAGCTGCTCAGTGGCTCAGCACATAGCAGATACGGGATGCCTCTTTATGTAAGAAAAGCCGAGTGAACATGGCGACCGAAGCGGGGGGGGGGGGTGTGGGTGGGCTCTAGTTACCTTCTTCTTCATCTTCACATTTTTGAAGATGGCATGGACCCTCCAGGTCTTTGCAAACATGGCCCCAAAGGCGGTTGTGTAGCCCACGGTGAGAATCCAGGTCCGGACCTAGAAGCCAGGACAACACAGGGGAGTTAACATCTCCCAGGTGACTGACCACCCAGCAAGTGGAACCTAGGTGTTGGGGACAGACACTCTGCAGTGCATTTTTGGAAGTCAGATTCTGATCCCATAGACAGCTAGTAACACTTGTCACTCATTGGGTGCCAGGCACTAGGTGCAGAGGATGATAAGTTTCAAATTCTGCCTCCAGCAGTCCCTGGCTCAAAGCAGGCTGTCCACCCAGCAAGACACAGGCATCTCTGTACTGTTGAATGGTCTCTAGGAAGGTGGGAGGCAGACACCCTCCCTTCTCGTCCCTCCCGTTCCATTCGCTTCCCTTCCTTGTGTGGTAGCTAGTCTCATGCTTTGCCTGACTTTGGGGCCCTGCTCAGGACTAAAGTCCTGCCTGGCTCTTACCTGCTCCCTACAACTGAAGTGTACCTTGGTTACCAGCCCTGGCTGCTGACTGTAGGAACAGCCAGTCTAAAGGAGCCCTGGGTTCCTGGCGGTTGAGACAGGATGGGCACCATCTGATAGCTACCCTGGAGCCTCCAGGATACTTGCTTTCTGTCAGGACTATAATGACAGTGAGATACTCCCTTCACTGGCTGGCCTGGATACCTCCAATACGGGATCCTTGGCCTCCGAGTATAGCTCCTCTGACCCCAACCCTGAGTGATGCGTTGTGCCTGCCCCAACCCTTCCAGCACTGTGGCTCACAGGTGTCTAGGTCCACTCTGTTTATGAAGACAGAACCTGGCTTACAAAGTGTCATGGCTGACCCCTAAGCCAGGAAGACAGCAGCAGGCTAGCCATTGTTGAGATACGCGCGTGGCACAGCACAGGGAACACAGCCTTCTGTTTCCTTCCATATACCCAAACATCAGATGGGCAATGAATGACGGTAGGTGTTTTGGGGGAAGGGGGATGACCACACTGCCATGTACATTATAGTGTGTATGGTAGTACCCACATTATAACCCAAGGATGGTAAGAAAACTGGAGAACACAGAGGGAGGCGGAGCTGAACCCTGGGGACTGAGACCCCAGGGTTATGTCTCTCGCGACTTGGAGCATCCACTGTCCTCTGTCACAGTCGCTGGGACCTCACAGAGCAATCACTCAGCCAGACACTAGTTGGCTCATCTTGGACATTAGTTCGCTCGGCATGGACCATGAGGCCAGAGACAGTGTGGATTATACAAACCACCATTACTAACCAGGACAACTCGGGAGCTGTTGAATGAGGAAATCACTTTACGAGGAAACTAAGGCCCATAGCGATTACATATTTCCTCCATCACTCACTAACAACCCAGAACTCCAGTTCAGTGTCCTGAGCCCGAGTGGCCTTCTCTTCCTGATGTCACATGTCTCCTCTCCAGAGAGTCTGCTTAACTCAAAGCAGCTTCATCTACACTCGGGAGCTGGCCCACCAGCCAGCGCACATGCTGCTGGGGGTCTGTGTAACACTCTGGATTTACACTGTCCCCACAGGCTTGAGTGTTGGATGCTGTTTGGGGAGGTTGTGGACACCTTAGGAGGTAGGGGCCTGATGGAGGCAGTGGTTCCCGAGGAGCTGGCCTTGGAAGGTTAGACCTGGTCCCTGATTCTCTCCGAACACCACACGGGTGAGTGGCGCTCTGTTGGGTCACACACTCATTACTGTGATGGACTGAAGCTCCTAGGACTGCCGGCCCAAAGACATTCTCCGTCCCTTAAGCTGTTTGTCCAGCTACTTCACCACAAAGATAAAAGTGTGACTCGCTGTGATGGTTCATCTCAATTGTCAACTTGGTGGGAGTTGCAGTCACCGTGGGAACAAACCTAGGCTCATCCGAGAAGCTTTCTGATGAGGTTTGTACCCTCAGACTGTGAGGTACAGTCTCTATATGCTTTAAAGAGAATAGTATGTCCACCAGGAGACCAGCCCCTAGAGTTTCCGATCACACACCATTAGATAGTGACTTCCATCTGTAAACATACATGGGCACTTTTACAAAGGATGGGGAAGATGAGATAGTGCTATTCCTTTTGCCTCGTTCTGTGGTCCTATTTGGAGGCCACATGTCACGGCCCTGTGCCCAGCTTATTCACAGTCCTTTGACCCATGCTCTCTTTACGGCCATCATTACCAGGCTGCTTGTCTCTTTTGAGAGAGCCAATTTCATTAAGATTCAATAACATAAATTAAGTGAGTTAAAACTCGATGAGAGAAATTTAATCTGGCGTCTGGAAGCTGAAATGTGTTGCGGTGAACTAACTGAAAGCAAAGAAGGCCACAGGAGCCTGGGCAGAATGCTTCACAGATGCTCGGTCTCTGGAGAGGCTGGCCCTGGCTGGTGTCTGTGAACTGGGACTTGGGGAAGGTTCCTGCCTTTCACTTCCTGATGTAGGGTCTCATTAGGCCTAAGCAATTTGTGCAAAAAGTGTGATTTGTGCTATATACATGATTCCAGGCAGCTGCGTCCTGTCTAGAGCGTGGGTGCATTGCAGACCTAGTGTTTATGTGGCTTGGCCTTGGGTATACCGTGGGCTCTCCTGGTGTGTCTCAGGCACTGGTTGTCTTATGACCCTGGGGAAGGCTTTGGATGCTTACACCAGGTCTTCCCTGGATGTCCCTTCATGAGCATATGCCTTGGCTAGTGTTGTAATTGCTCAGAACCATGAGTATGACTGGATGTCCGGGCCTGGGAATCCCAGCGAGTTACTGAGGCTGGGGCTGTCACCGCTGGATGTTATGGCCCCACCAGTAGCCTGACCAGCAGCAGAACCGAGGAGTGAGAAAGGTCAGTAGAGCCCCAGCCAAGCCTCCACAGGCTGACTCACCTTGGGTCATCCAGCCCTGAGTGACCCTGCCAGAGGGGAGGCCCATTTCTTTGCATTGGCACACTCTGTGAGACGGAAGCTGCCACACTGGCGCCTCCTCTGCCCAGCTAAGGCTGTCCCTGGGTGACTGCTTGGCTCTGAGATCGTCTTCCTCTGAGCTCTAAAGCTGCACATGCTGCTTTCATAGAAAGCCTCGGTGACAAGTAGATGCACCATAAAACCCTCAGTTCCACAGCAAGGCTGAGCCCACGGCTCTTCCCTAAGTGGCTGTTTCCTCAGATGGAGGAGTCCTGCTGCCTGCCACTCAAGCTAGAGACCTGAGAACTACTCCAACCCCTTCCTGCCCTCACTCTCTTGTTTCATCTCCAGATATGACCTGTAGGGTGACAGTCCTCAGGCATGACCCACAGGGTGACAGTCCTCAGGCATGACCCGCAGGGTGACAGTCCTCAGGCATGACCCACAGGGTGACAGTCCTCAGGCATGACCCGCAGGGTGACAGTCCTCAGGCATGACCTACATGGGGATTGTCATCAGCTACCTCAAAGGGAAACCCCACAGGACAAAACAAGCAAGCAAGCAAACCCCACTTCTGGCCCTTCAAGCAACACTATCTCACTAATTTCTATTAGACTTGAATTTACTAGGAGGCCAATTTGGGGTTCTTGGGTAACCTCTGCTTTTTTTAGTTAGAGTTAGGAAAAAACCCCAGCATTTCAGGGCCACAAGAAGGCTCCCTGCCCCACCTTTGTCCATCTGCTTCCCATGGTGAGCACACAGTCCCCTGTAAGCAGGGACAGAAGGTAAAGTCACCTGCAGGACTCAACCCTGCATACTGGGACAGGGCTGCTCTGCTCATGGACCTCCGAGGGAGGAGACACATGTGAGCATATCTCACTCCGGGGCTCTACTCTTTTGTAGCTGATGTTTAGGGGATGAGGTTTCTGGGCTTCCAGGATCCCCAGATGCCTGGTCTCTAAGAGACTCCGTGACAGCACAGCCCCAGAGACTGTACTGGCTGGGGAGGGCAGCCTCACCGACACCTGTGGCCTGGTAAGTGGAGTTCTGCAGAGATTTACCAGGGTTTGTTCATGGTATGTACGTGTCTGTGTGCATGCGTTGCTTTAAGTGAGACAGTGAATAAAGCTTCTCCTGTCTCAGGCAGGGAGCTGCATGTTAAGCCTGGCTCCTCTGAGTTCCCACTGAGCAGCCCCTGGCTGCATTGGCTTATTTAATAGGAGCCCAGCAACTGGGGATTCCTGTCTATAGCATCCACACAGGTCCTCGCTGTGTCACTCTTACTGCCCCAGACCCTCCACACTGCAGGTGGCAGAGGCTCACAGCAGCTTGGTTTGTCTCCAGCCCAGTTCTAGCAGAGCAAGGCCATAGCAGGTCACTGTTGCCATGGAAACACCTGCACCAAAATTACCAGCACCCACTCCAGGTACCCAACTCTTCAGCTGTTCACTCTGCCTCCTTGGTATCCTTCTAGAAGTGATCACCATTATCCTAACAGTCCATCATTCATTCACAAGTGATCCACTCATTCATTTGTTCATTCATTCATTCAAAAGCATCCATTGAAATTTACTGTGAAGCAGGAACTTGAAGATTTAATACACGGTCTCATTTAATCCTTACAACCCCATGAACTATAAGGTTCAGAGATGTTAGTAGCTGAGTCAAAGTCACACAGCTAGGAAGTCATGTTGTGGGGTTTTGGATGGAGACACCTGCCAATGGCATCCCTAAAATATTCTGTGGACATGTTAGAAATGAATAAAATCACTCAAGTATATGAATAAAATCACTCAAGTATATGTAGATTTTGTGGTATTTTTTTGTTGTTGTTGTTTGTTTGCTTTTTAAAAAAATCCAAATGGGCAAATGTTTAGTTGGGACACTTGACTGGCAGACAGAATTCAGTTGGCCTGTTGACCTGTTTTTCCTGGTAAAAGCCAGTTGACCGCTCAGTGGCTCTGAAAACCTGATGACTGAGTTTGGACCCTGGAGCCCATATGGCAGGAAAGAGTGGATCGCTACAGTGTCCTCTGACCTCCACGTGCACGCCTTTGCATGTATGCACACTCCCTTCCACATGCACGCCTTTGCATGTATGCACACTCCCTTCCACATGCACGCCTTTGCATGTATGCACACTCCCTTCCACATGCACGCCTTTGCATGTATGCATACTCCCTTCCA